TTCTGTATGTTTCTTTTCTTTTGTTTTTGTTTTATTTTAGTTGATGTGTAAATTTGTCAATATTGGACGAAAAGGATGTTTTGCGCAAGAAATGGTACAGGTAGGGACGTTCTGCGCCAAAAAATGAAAGGTAGGGGCGTTTTCCACAACAACAGTCAAAGATAGGGACGTTTTGCGCCAATTACTCCAAAAAAAATATAAGATAAGAACGTTTTGCAAAATAATCTTCAAATATTTTAATGTTTCATGCTAATAACAAAACGGTTTACATTGCAATACAAAGGCAATTGATTGGAAGACTTAGGGGTACTCTTGTCATTCTACTGTTTATCTTTTCCTGAAAGATTTTAACCCGACTTCAGGTGCATAACAGTGATTCCTTCATCCATAAAATTTTCAATCGTCAGCTCCGAATCTCAAGACAATGGAAAACGACGTCGAACCACCGCCGGAGCATAAGCTGTGCGGTTATGTACTTGCAGTTCTCTCCATTGAGGGAGATCCCAATTTGCTTCCTCTCAATTCCCTCTGCCGAATCGCCGGGGACCCCCAAAACATCCACTTTGTATCGCAAGATGATGTTGTATTAACACCCATTGGTAAACCAGGACCTCCAAATTCCAAAACGACGCCGTGTGCGGGGTCCTTCTCGAAGAGGCGGTGGAGCAGAATTGGAATGGTTCACGGGTCTATAAGCGTGGTGCACCAGATTCGTGCCCTTGTGAGGCATAAGTGTGTTAGAATTTTGGCGAGGGTGGTCAAAATTGCAGTGCGGGAGAGTGAAATTGATGGTGATTGTAGGGAGGCTAGGGCTGTTGTGTTGGTGGATGTTTACTTGCCTATAGCCTTGTGGTCTGGTTGGCAATTCCCCAAGTCGGCTTCCACTGCTGCGGCTCTTTTTAAACACCTAAGGTCTGTTTTTAAATTGTTCGTTCAATTTTCTAAATGCCCTGTTCTATTCGTAATGTTGTTGTATTTCGATGTGTCATTTCCTTTGGTTGAATTGAGTTTGATGAAGTAGTGTTTGTGTTGTGGGGTTTTTGTGAAAGATAGATGGCAGGCATGGTGTACTATCTGATGATGTGAAATTCAGTCTCAGGCTCTTGTTTTTCCAGAATGAAATTTGTATTTAGAAATGCAGTGGATCAAATTAATTACTTAAATTGCCTAGTTGAAGTATGGAGAACAGAATCTGATATTTCAGAGTCATGTTTGTAACGACCACGGACTTTTTCCATATTGCCCATTAGCACAGGGGCTATTTGGTGCACCTGTGTACGGTCCACTAGGGGTTGGGCCCCAAGTTAAATTTAATTCATGTCCCCAGCTATTTGAACTTTTGATCTCCCCTCAAGAGGAACTTAAGTGGAATGCTAGCACCAATTGGAGCCTAACACCCATGCCTAGTGGATAGTACGTAAGCTAACGGTACATGAAATAGCCCCTGAGCGAACGGGCAAGATGAGGAAAGTCCTTCGTTCTTTACAACGTTTGCGAGAAATTGTAAGGTTATAGACGTTGGATGTATGGAACCTAATTAGTGTTCACTTTTTTCCCTATCTGCGGGTCGACCTTTGAGGTAAGGTTGATAAGGAGTTGGAGCCTTGGAGGGTGCGAAATTTAAATTTTGCACACGTTATGTCTCCCAAATGTTTTTTCTCAACATAAAGTGTGTTATGGAAAAACTCTTTTTTGTGAGTGCTTCACAAATTGTAATCTCCTTCTTTGTTATAGTAAGGGTGTGTTTGAGCCGCATTATTTTGGAAGAATGTATTTTGAAATAGTATATTGATGGAGAATGTGTGGTTGAAAAAGAAGAAAAAGTTATTGATGTGATGGAAAATATTATTTTATTGAAAAACGTGTGGTCGAAAATGACTAAATGAGTAGTTTAATGAAAATGAAAATTTTAATGTGTACCAAACAGGGGCTAAAATTGTGCAGAGGCAAGTGAATGTATATCTTGTAATGAGAGCGAACCACGCTAAGAAGTTTGTTCTTTACTTGCTTTTATGTTTCATATCTTCTTATATTGCTCTTGGTAGTACAGGATTAGCCATTAATTCACTACCAACTTCACTGCTCTAACTAATAGCTCACATTTCATATTGCACCATGAGCATGTTGATATTTTCCTTTTTGGTTTGTATTTAAGGCCAAGATAGGTATAGACACTGTCCAATCTGAGAGTGGGAGTGTGGGCGTAAAATAAAACTTTGAATAAGAGAGTTTCTTAAGAATGTCTATTTGAAAATGTTTTCGAGAAAGAGTCCAATCTGAGAGTGGGAGTGTTGGCGTAAAGTAAAACTTTGAATAAGACAGTTTCTTGAGAATGCCTATTTGAAAATGTTTTAGAGAGAGAGCTGGAGGTTGCCACTCTAGGAGAAGATTTGCTAAATTTGGGACACCAGTGCTATTTGTGCACATTCTAATGACAGTTTTCGAGAAGGACTGAGGAGTTGAGATCCTTGATGTCGATGTTTTGAACTAAAAAATAAATAAAATTTTTTGGTGAACGTGTGCATAGAACAATAGTTTAGTGCCCTTTTGGAAATGTTTACATTCAAAAGGTGCAAACGGGATCCTTCAGAGACAGGCAGGCTGAAATTGGCCGCGGATTCTTGAGTTCGGGTTGAGGGTGGTATCACTGGTGTGGGTGCAGTTATCAGAAATCGTATCTGGATTGTTTTGGCGGCCCAATCAAAACGGCTGGGGAATGTCTCATTTGAAGATGCTGAAGCAGTGGCTCCACGTGAGGGTGTCTTGCCTCTGCTAAAAAACTTGGTTTCCAAATTGATATTGCAGAATGTGATTCTCTTTGGGTTGTTCCGAGTCTTTTTCGGACTTTGATTATGCTCCAAATGAACCTATTTTGTTTGATGTAGTTTCTTTGCTGTGAGAAGTGAGTTGTGGTTCTTGTCGCTTTATCCCACTAATGGTAATAGGGTCGTTCCAGTATGGAAGAGCAAAAAACATAGATAAATCCAGTATCACTAAGTTTTATAGATTCATCCAGTTTAAGGATTAACTCTGTTTGTTTCATGTCCATTGTGCAGTTTTGATCTTTGAATCTAGTCGTCATTGCTCGAATTAATTTGTATGATTATGTGGCCCTGCCATTTTTTCAGAATTGATGCTAATATTTTTTAAATGTTAATCGAATCTGGCAGTAAAGATTTTTGCTATGCCTCTGATGCTAATTTATTTTATAAACATTGGTTTGCAGTTCTGATTGGGAAGCTCGAAGTATGATGCTCAAGTTCGACAAATTGGAACTTGTAGATAATTTGAGTATTTGGAACGTCAGAGACTGTCATGTCTTTGGCTGCAAACAGCATTGTAGTCTTCCTGACGGTTCTGAGAAAAAGCCTTTTGAACTCCATGAAATTTTTAAGAGTGTACCCAGTGTGACAAAGAAGGTAGACCGTGATTATTCAAGAGTAATCCCAGCCGACTCATCCTCCAAAACTGGTATCTGGGTGCTATCGGATGATATTTTGATCAATATTTTAACTTCACTTCGCCCAGTTGACCTTCTTAGGATTTCTTTAACATGTCATCATTTAAGGTATTTGGCAGCATCAATCATGCCATGTATGAAACTTAAACTTTATCCTCATCAGCAGGCTGCTGTTGAGTGGATGTTACAGCGTGAGCGGGAGTCTAAAGTCTTACAACATCCTTTATACATGGACTTCAAAACTGAAGATGGGTTTGATTTCTATATGAATATGGTTTCTGGGGAGATTGTGACTGGCGTTGTACCCACGATTAAGGATTTCCATGGGGGGATGTTTTGTGATGAACCTGGATTAGGTAAGACTATAACTGCCCTTTCACTCATTCTGAAGGCACAAGGGACATTGGCAGAACCCCCAGATGGAGTACAAGTGGTCTGGTGTAGGCATGATGGGTATCAGAAGTGTGGTTATTATGAAATTAGTGGGAACAATATAACCAGGGGCAGGGTCCCTGCTATTAACAAAATTGTGGGTCAGAAATCTCGAAGAGGGCAGTTATCGCTTGATGAACTCACCCCAAGGAAGAACTCAAACTGCAGTGCACAAAAAATTCCCACGTTACTTGATTCCGCTGAGCGAATTTTGGAATCAACTGACTACTGTTCTAGTAAAAGAATCAAATTGTCTACATCTGCTTGCTTGACACCTGCATCCTCTGCTGTGTACACCAGGAGCTGGAGTAATGTGAAGAGAAATCTTCTGAATGAATACGAGGAGTCGCCACTTCCTTCTGAGAGAAAAAAGGTTAAGAAATGCTTAAAAAATGGAAAGCATGTCTCAATTACTCAAAGGAAAAGTCTGAGAAACCAAGGTGGTTTGTCATGTGAGTCATCATTCATTAGGAAGAGGGATAAGGAGACCACCACAGACAATTTTGTAAACAACGAATCGTGGGTCCAGTGTGATGGTTGTGGCAAGTGGCGGAAGCTTGCAGATGTAAGTGTAGCAAATACTAATACAGCATGGTTTTGTAGTATGAATACGGACCCCTTGCACCGGAGTTGTAATATACCTGAAGAATCCTGGGATTATGGGGAATCTATCACTCACCTACTTGGGTTTCATACAAAGGGAACCCTTGGGGGGAAGGATGAAAACATATCGTTTTTCATTAGTGTTCTCAAGGAGCACTACACATTTATGAATTCGGAGACAAAGAAGGCCTTGACTTGGTTGGCTAAACTTTCACAGGATGAGCTATCAGAAATGGAAACAATTGGGTTGATGAGCCCGATCGTAGGAAACTCACTGTTCAATACTAGTGTTTCTCGTGATTTTCACAAAATATTTCAAGCTTTCGGCCTAATTAAGAGAGTTGAAAAGGGTGCTACGAGATGGTACTACCCAAGAACTCTTTTGAACCTGGTCTTTGATCTGGATTCTCTTAGAATTGCTCTGTGTGAGCCATTAGATTCGTTTAGGTTTTTTTTATCAAGTGCAACTTTAATTGTCGTCCCTTCAAATCTTGTTGATCACTGGAAAACTCAGATTGAAAGGCATGTCAGACCAGGTCAATTGAGAGTTTATGCATGGGGCGATCAGAAAAAACCCTCTGCACACTGTTTGGCTTGGGACTATGATATCGTAATAACTACATTCAATCGTTTGAGTGCTGAGTGGGGTCCTCACAAAAGAAGTGTATTGATGCAAGTTCACTGGCTTAGAGTCATCTTGGATGAGGGGCATACTCTGGGATCTAGTCTCAATTTGACAAACAAATTACAAATGGCTGTTTCATTGAGTGCTACTAATCGCTGGTTGTTAACGGGTACTCCAACTCCCAACACTCCTAACAGTCAGCTCTCGCATCTTCAGCCCATGCTCAAGTTCCTTCAAGAAGAGTCTTATGGGCAGAATCAGAAGTCATGGGAAGCAGGTATTCTCAGGCCATTTGAGGCAGAAATGGAAGAGGGCCGGTCACGCTTGCTGCAGTTACTTCGTAGATGCATGATTAGTTCAAGGAAAATAGACTTGCAGGCAATCCCTCCTTGCATCAAGAAAGTAACATATTTGAATTTTTCCGAAGAACACGCAAAAAGTTATAATGAATTGGTAGAAACAGTGCGGCGTAATATTTTAATGGCTGACTGGAATGATCCTTCACATGTTGAGAGTTTACTCAACCCAAAACAATGGAAATTTCGGGCTACTACTATTAGAAATGTACGGTTATCCTGCTGTGTGGCTGGACATATCAGAGTATCGGATGCTGGCCAAGATATTCAAGACACTATGGATATCTTAGCTGAGAATGGTCTAGATCCTAGTTCGGAGGAGTATCTGTCAATAAAATACAATCTTTTATATGGTGGCAATTGCATGAGGTAAAATTTGGCTAAGCTTTCATGTACTGGATTTTATTTGACAGGGTACACTTGATATTTTTTCTCATTATTGGGTTTGTAGGTGCAAGGAATGGTGTCGTTTACCTGTCATTACACCTTGTAGGCATCTTTTATGCCTTGACTGTGTTGCTTTAGACAGTGAAAGGTGTACATTCCCCGGATGTGGCAACTTATATGAGATGCAGAGTCCAGAAATATTAACTCGTCCAGAGAATCCCAATCCAAAGTGGCCTGTTCCAAAGGATCTCATTGAGTTACAGCCTTCATACAAACAGGTAGGGTTATCTTTATCTTTCTTATTGTATCTGTCCTTTGTATTTTTCCTACGCTTGCAAATGTTTACCAAGTTGTGTTTGTTGTTTAATGCAGGATGACTGGAATCCTGATTGGCAGTCGACAACTAGCAGCAAAGTTGTGTATCTTGTTGATAAATTAAAGAAATTTCAGGAAACTAATAGGATCAATGGATACTCCAGTGACCAGAGAGGGGTACACGATTCTCATGAACTTCATTTGTCCTCTGAGAGAAGCTATTTCAACCCATCATTAGGTCTAGAAGCTTGCAGTAGATCTGGAAATGGTCAGACGCTTTCGGAGAAAGTTATCATATTTTCTCAGTTTCTTGAACATATACATATTATTGAACAGCAGGTAACTTTTGATTAAATGTAGGCATGGTGAATATAGTTTTCTCTGCAATTAACAAGCTATTATTTTTCACATTTTTTTCCCAGTTAAATGTCGCCGGTATCCAGTTTGCTGGAATGTATACTCCAATGCAGGCTAGCAGTAAGGTATGTATCTAGTTGCTTTTTGTTTTTTGATATTTTTGAAGTTCCAAACTTGTTTGATGTGGTTTAGAAGCAAAGTTACTTCTACGCAAATCAGATGAAATCACTGGCAACTTTCCAGCATGATGCAAATTGTATGGCTCTTTTGATGGATGGAAGTGCAGCATTGGGTCTTGATCTAAGCTTTGTAACACACGTGTATTTAATGGAACCTATCTGGGATAAAAGGTAACAGATAATATTTGTATAACCAAGTATTTTGGCAAATTTTTTGATTGCATTCTAGTTTTTCTGGAGGGCTTCCGTCTCCAGCAATATTCTGAGCTTGTTCTTTCCAATTAAAACCACTTACAAGTTCCGTATTACTAATGTATTGGTGATACCATGTGTGTTCTTCTTAGGCTGCTTCCTTTTTAATTTTGGTTGAGAATTAGAAAAGTAAGAAATTAAAATTTAACTTTTCATACTGATTTCTGGTTTTTATTGTTATGAAAATTGATCAGCATGGAAGAGCAGGTTATTAGTCGTGCTCACCGGATGGGTGCTACACGTCCTATTCATGTGGAAACATTAGCAATGAATGGGACAATTGAAGAGCAAATGTTGAAATTTTTACAGGTAGTATTCATCTTTGGTTATTGTGTTTTGAATGATTAGATAGTATGGATCTTGCTACATGAGACTAAGATAGCGAAGTACCCATTTTCGTTGAGCACAAATTAGTGAAGTTCTCAATTTTAGTCAACGCAAATTATCCATGCCAGGTAGTTTAATCTAGGGCATGAAGTTTGTCACCAAGTATATAGGAAAAAAGATTGAAAGATCACGAGTCTGATTTTTGACTTCACTTTCCCAATGAATTCAGATCTAGAATCATAATTTTTTCTTCTGTGTACAGTTTTCTGTAAATGCATCGTCAGTTTTCTATCATTCTTGCTTATAATTGGCAAGCAAGCAGTTCCATTACGTACTTTAAGTGAATATCTGCGTCATGGTTCGACTTCCTTGTTGTTTAGAGAACGATGGAAAAAATCGCTGGCTGTGATTCTTGTCCCGATGTCATTAGTAGTGGTTTGGTTGAGAAATTTTATTGTGACATTCCATGCTGCCCAAAAACAATTGGAAAGCCAATGGGAAACCTTAAACAGCCTTGCTGCTTGTCAAAATTTTCATCCACCACCAGTAGGCTTGTTTGAGTGACTTCAGAAAAACCATCTGATTCCAAAACTCTACTTCAAGCAAGTTTGCCAATGTGTATATTCCAAAACCATCTTATCGTAGGATGCTCAAAATTGGAAAACTATCTGCCATGGAGGACAGGAAGATCTTAAAAATATTTTGGAGGATGACTCCTGGCCTAGTTTTTTTTTTGTTCATAGAACTAGGACTTCCAAGGGAACTAAAAGTGGATAAATTACTCACAGGGCAAGTCGTATATGAGCACGAGCAGGGGTTGACTAGCCTTGTCATGTATGCATTTCTCATTACATTTTATGTGCTCGATTAAGCATGGACATGAGGGATACAGATTGTACTACTGTTAAAAAGCCTGTTGGGTAAAATAGTGATTTATATCATAAGAGCATCTCTTTTGATGAATTTATCTGTTGCTGGAACAGTTTTAACCATGCACATGTAAGCACAATTGTTACTCTGAACAACAGCGCGGAACAGGTCAAACCATCCCAACTGAATTTATTGGATCCTCAATCGTTTCAGTTGACAAATTTTTTGTCATGGTCTGTCTTGCCAAGACAGTGCTAATTAGACAGTTGAGAACTTGCTGTTTGTGCACTCTCTTGAAAGCTTATATATCTTAAGGACTAAAATTTTTCAACCTGTCCTCCCGAGTATAAAGCACTTGCTGTAGTATTTTGTCTTAAATTTTTATGTGTTTGATTAATAGGATGCTGGCGAATGTAGAAGACTGTTGAAGGAAGAGTTTGGTACAAATGATCTTGATGGGACGAGATCATATCGCACATTACATGATTTTGCCGAGAGCAATTACTTGGCTCACCTCAGCTTCGTGCGAACAAATTTCAGGATACAGAGGTATAAATTTTTTATTTTTCTGATTTTTAATTGTAGATAATCGTGCTATGGATTTTTTATTTTTATTTTACAATATGTAAAATAAAACATGTTTTGTACAGAGATTCAAATCCTTAATTGATATTTCAAATCTGTAATTGATTTTTGTATTTATTATTCGTGATAGGTAGGATTTTGTACCGATGTGACTGCTGATTAGCTAGATTTTTCTTTTTTAGCTGCTTGTTATCTTTTCCTATTTAGAGCAGTCTAATGCCCTTGGGTTTTAGGCTTAGATTTTGTGGTTCTCGTGTAAAATCCAGCTCTATAAAGTGAACAACCCTTTATGAAGAAGTTAAGCAGATAAAAGCTCTAGGTTCAAAAGCTCCACTCACAATAATCAAATTCTAATTAGAATGAGAATTAGACTTTTCTCTAATCTTTGTTCAGAACATTTTACTTTGAATAATGATATTTATTATTATGATGATAGAACATTGGTTGTGGTAGTCTATGTGGAATAATGTGATTCGGCAATTCAATTTTAATGAGGGAGAGAGAGAGAGAGGGAGAGATGAGAGCAATAATGGATTTCCACACCATCATGATGATAAATGGCATTGCTGTTTTACTTTGGTGAAAAACATTGTTGCTTGTTGACATGGTATTATAATCTTGTCTGGAAAATGATAGTAGCACATGGGGAATAAAAGATTGTCACTTGTATGTTGTCTGCCTATACATGGTCATTTTTTTTGTTGAATATTTCTTATGTTTTTCGGGCACATGTATCCCTGTAATGATTTCCACCTAATTTCATAACCTTCAGATTCAATCACAAATGTGGTTTAACTATGAACAATGTGGATTATTTTATTTTTACTCAGAACTGTTGCATCTCATGGACGGACTGGTTTTGACATCAGATTTTGCATGGCATTGCAGTTACAGGCACCGAAGTTCTAATGGGCTTTTGGAGAAAGAGAAGGGACATGATTGGTAAGTCACAGGGTCAGTGGAGGAATCCCGTAGGAACAGGGTTACGACCCACTGAAGTTGTGTTCATATCACACAATTAATCATGGAGGGCTAGTTGATTTTGAGCTCACAAATAATAATTTTGATGAGCATTTGATTTCAGCGCAACCATTGGGGGGCGGTTTCATCGATTCCTTGAGTTTAGAATATTGTTTTGGATTTTAGAAATCCAATCACTGGTTCTGGTCTTGGTTTTTCTATAGAAACCAACCTCACCCACCCCAATTCGTGCTATGTCATGTAGTACATGAGACATGACCAGAACACTAATTTGCTTAGAATGGCTTAGTCGGGTTTTGACAATTCCAGACTGTAGGATTCTCGTTTTAAGATTTTGAACCTGTTTAATATTTCATTATCTTAGCATTTAAGATAATATCTACCTAAATTAGAAAAACAATCATGCTTGGTGAACTTACCGTCTCTCATACACTTTACCTTCCCTCAATACACTTTTGGCATGATATATTACACATTAACAATTTTCTATTTGCTAATAAGGGATTAAGGAGGAATAGATAAAAATGTGTGATTAAGAAGTAAAGAAAAAAATTATAGTGAATGACTTGACAATCGCAAAACAATAAATTAAGAAATTGCACTTTTTAACTATGAAAATTAACCATCATTATAGATACTTGTAAGGCTAATGCCCCACATGTATTAAAATAAAAATAAAAATTGCATGGGCCCCACCATGTCTTGCCTGTATACCCTCTGTGGAAAAATTGCCTGTACTCCAAGCATACTAGTAAATAAGACTGAACATAGGTTTTAATCGTTTTTCAATCAAATCCTAGTGAAGATTATTAACGATTTGACACAGCCTTGTTTTCATAAATTAGACATTTTCACCGCTCATTATATAACAGTAACAATACAAGTATCAGGCTCAACAAACTACCATAAATTCGATAAGACTACATTCCCTCGAAACACTCGAGATATTCAGCAACCTGTAAATTTGTGATACATTGGATGAAGGGGTAGTTCCATTGGATGAATGAGGGTCAAGGGGAGGGGGTGGAACCGCTGTCCTACCCAAAACTGTCCTACCCAAACCCCGCTTTGGCTAGCCATGATTAAAAAGAAATAAAACAAACTAGTATCTACTGATGAGGTTGACCATGTGGTGGGGGACCTGGAGGCAGCGGAGGAGTACCGGATGGAAGCCCAAAATTCGACAGCATTCCAGGAGCATTTGGATTTTCAGACTGCAGAGACAATAACCACTGAATTAGCTTCGACAGAACTAAAGAAATGATTTAACAGATATCTTTCAATGTTCTCCTGTAATAAACAAAATTGTCCAGAATTTTATTTTCGAGAATGCATGTATAAAAAAAGAAAAAAATCAGAATTTAAGGAAGTACAAGTAAACGATTCAATTTAGTACAATTTGTAACTATCAAGGCGAATGAATAATCAAACTAGCATGCCAATTTAATTTTCAGTTCAAAGAGATTTCTCAAAGCAAAATGCACCATCACAATCATTTATCCTCTTAGCATAACTCAGTGGAATCCATGTATTGGTCACAGTCAAGTTAAAATATTTACATAGTGATGACTGATGAGTTGAAATAATTTTTCACTCAAAAAGTGAGGGACGCAAAATTAAAACTAACAGCAGATCCAGCAAGACCCAAGTGGAGGATTAGCTGTTTTGCAACATATCCGCTGTCGTCTGGTTCCGCATAATATCTTGGATCACTTTGAGGTTGCTCATAGGATTCATGTCAATCTTGAAATCAGATAGACATTGCAATTTCCATATTCTTATATATACTGTTACGGTGTTGGGTGAAAGCATGATTCATCTGCTGTTTATGAAATCTAAGGTTGCAGAGTATATGACATGTTAGAATCTTTAAAATCATGGTTCTTTGCACATCCTCGGACAAATGTAGCAATAATAGCCACATAACTTGTACAAAATGAATATGACTCGTGACATTTATAATTTGAATCTCCAGTCAAATGTATACATATAACCTGAGACAATTTACTAGTACTTCAACTCAGCCATCATTGTATCTAAATGGTGGTCCACACACAGATAAGCAAACAACTCTTAAAGGAGTGTCCCACTCATGATTCTCCTGCATTTGAAGTCTATAGAACACTTACCCGTTCGCAATCACATAAAAAGGGAACAAAAAAAACAGCAACGCATTAAAAGCAAACAATAAAAAATTCTCAACGTGCACAAAATAAAGGAACAGGCATGACTACACAACGTAGATTACGGAAGACCGTATAATACATCCGCTGCACGATTGCATCACCAATAGCAGATCACTAGAAATGAGTGCCAAACTCTCATTGTTGATTGCGAGCTCCTTGCTCATACAAATGAATCAGGATAAGAAAGCCAAATGTTAGAATAGTGATTATATAAATTCTCTCACCTGGAAAGGATTAAGTCCTGGCATCATTGGCATCTGTCCAGCTTGCAGCCTGCTGAAGCCACTCCCTGGGGAATACATTTGATTGCCACTTACATTAGGAGGACCCTGCATGTTTGGCAACCCATTTGGAATTCCACCTGAAGGCATATTTCCTGGTAGTCCAGAAGGCATGGGATTCATGCCCATAAAGTGAGCCTGAGGCGATGGAGGAATCATCTGATTCATACCACCTTGTATCCCCTAAAGATACGAATACAAGTCAATCGAAGGCAGTTCAAAATCATTACAAAGCAGACATTAGCTTTCCTTTCTCTAAAAAGAAGGAAAAATGAGGGAAAAGATCAAAAGAAAGACCACAGTAAGAGCATTGTGTTGGGTGTCGAGTATAAGAATAGTTCTTGCAACCATATAATCTCAACTTGTCTCAATTGGCAAACGTGATTTCTAAAGATCCTAAGCAGAACACTAAGAAGCAAACAGAAACCTAAAGCAATACTAATAGTCTAATATACATGCAAGATTATTCCCATTCGTGCATGTGAACATGCACTCATACAGAGGAAACTGTTAAATATCACAGTTCAGTAAAGTTCAAATATAAAAGATTGGCAAAGCAGTAATTGCCTATTATTACCATAGGACCAGGCATAGGCATTGATTGGATGGACAGAGATCCTGTCATCGAAGAAGGGACGTTTGAAGGCATATTATGCAGTTGTATCTGCGATGGAGGATGAGGTAAGTGGGGATGCTGTAACATATGTAAATGGGAAGGAGGTTGTAGCTGAGACATATTTGGTGGCAATGACATAGAGGATTGATGCTGTTGTTGTGGAGCATTTTGTTGATAAGGCTGCTGTTGATTGCCTGCAAGGAGAGACGGATGTGGACCAGGGGGAAGAGGAGGAGTTCCTAAAGACATAGGTGGTTTCTGCTCTCCTTGAGCAGATGAGTCAAGAGATGGAACAGATAGGGGCATTGCAACTCCGATCCCTGGGATTGTTCCCTCATTTCGTGTCAAACCAGCTCCAAATGGTCCAGGAGTTGAGGGGGGCACAGGCATTGGGAACGGACCGGGTACGCGACCTCCCACAGCAAGGTTTTGCTCTCCAAAACCTGCAAACAAACAAGGAATTTACTCGACAAGAATAATTCAGGCAGATTATATATCCGAATATGAAGAATATTTTAAAAGGCGCTGTCAATTAATGTGAGAAAAAGATCAGAATTAGGATATGCACATAAAATGGATCAAAGCCCATTAATTTAAAATAAAGAAGTTACTCATCAAATGACAAGGAAACCATGCCAATTTTCCACATATCGATCAAATTTAAATCGTATGAATATGAAGAAAAAATGTTTGATAGTTGAAATGCACAAAAATGTATCACGGATTCATTGTAAAGATACATTGCTTTATCTAATGCCCGTAAATCTAAATATTTACAGGATAAAAAATCAATAACTGAAGGTTATGAAGTGTGCCAGCACAGCAGCAGGCTGGCTGCAAAAATACATGTAAGATAGACTATAGAAGTGAGAATAAGCAAAAACCTCGGTTTGGTCCAATGTTGAATTTATCACGAGCTGCATCCCCAGGCCTGTTTCTGCACCAAAATTTGGTAGCGTGATCATTGCCACCACTGCATCAAAAATAATATTGGTTAACTGAAGAAATAATCATCATTGCCTCGTAGCAACAGCTAATATATTGGATCTATTGAAAAAAAAATAGAAACTGAATGCAAACTACAACAAATCAGAAATTAATCTTTCTTGTATAACAGAACAATTTCAATCCGTGGAACATTTGTAATGTGTACATAACATAAAACATAGCTCTGATGCCATCCCTACAATAAATGGATGGCAAAAGAGTAACTTACAAAGTATCGATCCATGGAATGTTCTATTGTTTTTAGATCTAGATCCTGTCTTTCATTTATTTGGTTCCACACAATAGTATACGGAAATAAGAAAAGAAATTAGTCCACAACAATAAATTTAAATAAGTACTTAAACCATCAGACATCACACAAATAGAACTCGTAGATGTGATGCACAAGCAGTACAAAACATAGCACGAGAGATGGAGAAAGGAAAGGAGAGAGCCAAAAATAATTAGTAAACATGAAGGATAGATTTTAATGTGCAGGGAAGGAGAAGACCACGAATGAGGTCTGAATAATAGCTGAAAATAGTGTCATAAAAGTTAAAAAGATCAAGGGTAAGATTATATTAGTACAGAGTTATTATATAACAAGAGTTTAACAGTGTTAATAGCATGTATTCTCCTCAATGAGATTAATAAGTGACGAAGCAACGGTTTTGGGACAACACGGATAAGTTGTTTCCGGCATTTACCAAAGTAACACAAGATCTTTACTAGAGGTATTCTGAATGGTCACTTGAAAAAGGATAACTCAGGATATGGGAAAGGATTTGAATAGCGCACGTGTATAAATGTGAATTATACTAGAAAAATCTGGGTCTTGAAAGTGAGGCTATAAGACAACAAAGATGAGAAAAGCAATTGGTGTATGTGGAGATCC